CAGGTCTTTGAAGCTGGCAGGACAGATTGATAGAGCTGTTATAAAAGCTTATGGGATCCTTGGCTTTATAAATAGAGGCATAGAGTACAAAAGCGAGGAAGTTCTGGTAAACCTTTATAAGTCACTGGTTAGGCCTCAGCTGGTGTATTTTGTCCAATTCTGGGCACCACACTTTAGGAAGGATATCAAGGCTTTGGAGAGTGCAGAGGAGATTTACCAGAATGGTGCCAGGGATGAGGGATTTTAGTTATGTGGGGAGACTAGAGAAGATGGGATTATTCTTCTTAGAGCACAGAAGGTTAAGGGGAGATTTCATAGAATATTCCACTGGCGGGTGGCTCGGTAACCCGAGGACACAGATTTAAAACAGTTGTTAAAAGAAACAGAGGGGAGGTGAGGAGAAATCTTTTCGTACAGCGAGTTGTTCAGATCTGGAATGCATTGCCGGAAAGGGTTGTGGAAGCCAATTCGATAACAACTTTTAAGAGAGAAATAGATAATTATTTGGGGAGGACAAGTTTGCAGGGCTATGGGGAGAGAGCGGGGGAGTGGGGTTGATAATAATAATAATCCTTGCATTTGATATAGCGCTTTTCACGTCGGGAGGACGTCCCAAAGCGCTTTACAGAATATACTGTAAAGTGAGTTGACTGTATATTTGTGGGCGAACGCGGCAGCCAATTGCACACAGCAATGTCCCACAAACAGTCGTAGATTGAAAATGACCAATTTATTATTGTTTTTTTTGTTTTTTGGAGGGATTATTATTAGGCTCTGTGTGGAGTAAGGAAACTTGCCCAAGGTTTCGCCCTCTGCCTGGAATTGAACTCAGGTCTCTCGCTTGCAAAGCGAGTGCTCTAACCACTGAGCTACAGGACTCCAGGATGTCAAGGCCTTGGAAAGGTTGCAAAGGAGATTTACCAGGATGGTACCAGGAATAGAGACTTGAGTTATGTAGTGAGGCTAGAGAAGCTGGGACTGTTTTCCTTGGAGCAGAAAACGTTAAGGGGAGATTTAATAGATCTATTCAAAATTTTGATGGGATTTGATAGTGTGAACAGGGAGAAACTGTTTCCAGTAGCGGATGGGTCAGTAACCAGAGCGCACAGATTTAAGACAATTGCCAAAAGAACCAGAGGAGAGATGAGGATAATTTTTTTCACACAGTGAGTTTTTTAGATCTGGAGTGCATTGCCTGAAAAGGTGGTGGAAACAGATTCAATAACAACTTTCAAAGGGAATTAGATAAGTACTGGAAAACCAAAAATTGGAAATGAAATGGGAAAAGAGCAGGCGAGTGGGACTGATTGGGTAGTTCTTCCAAAGAGCTGACACGATGGGATGAATGACCTCCATCCGTGCTGCAAGCTTCTATGATTCTATCATAGCTGATTGGCTGAGGTTGTGTTTTTTTGCACTTTATTGAGGAGTCATTAAGTTCGAGTCACTGCCATTTTTGATCCGCACCCTGCGCTCCCTATTCTGCCTCATTTACTCAGCAATGCTGAGCCTGAGAGATTTGGAGACTTGGAGACACCCCAGCCAATGGTATGGAGAGAATTCCTCTCACCTGGAGCAAGCAATAAGTCCCACATGTTAAAGCAGATCATGAGCGGCCAGGTGTGTTTACACTCCCTCAGCCGCCCGTTACTGACATTTAGTTTAGAATGCTATGTGCTGAGGAAGCCAATGTCCAACCTGACGTGACAGGGGGCAAATAAAACAATCTTGCGTCCTGTGTTGTGTAACGACCAGCACAGACTGGTTGGCCCGAATGGCCTGTTTCCGTGCTGTACATTCTTCATAAAACTTTGTAAATCTTTGATATAAAACATAACTAAAGATCGATTTTTTTCTGCACTATCCAGAATATGGAGTCCTGTAACTCAGTGGTTAGAGCGCTCGCCTCGCAAACGAGAGACCTGAGTTTGATTCCCAGGCAGGATGAAACGTTGAGCAAGTTTCCTTAATCCACAGGTCTCTGTTTACCAAGTAGTAAGTTTGCTCACAAAATGTACAGTCAATTCACTTTACAGTCTATTCTGTGAAGCGCTTTGAGACGTCTAGAAAACGTGAAAAGCACAACATCAAATGCAAGGATTATTATATGTATGTGTGTATGTGTAGGTGTCTGTGCTAAATAAAAGCCTTATAGTGTACAACCCTGTTTAATAAAGGTGCCTCCTAACATTATTACTAATAATATTATTCTGCTCCAGAGGAAATAATGGTTATTATGGCTGGCGTTCATGCTCTCGATGGTGTTTATGCAGTTCCCATTGGGAGGGCAATGTGACTGAGGCGGTGGAAGGGGGAGGGAGGGGAAGGGGAAGGGGAATGGGGGCAGATGTGCCAGCCTTTGGTACAACATGTTGCAGCTGTTAACTTTTATTTGGCTTCCTCAGTGTGCTAATACAGGCTGAATGGCTGGTACATTGTTCCTGTGGGTAGCGTGTGCAATCTGCTTCCCAATGCATCTGAACCCGGGCCGACCTGGCTAATGCAGCTCCAATTTGTAAGATTTTATAACGGGATTAAATTGATAAGAAATCTCGTTGGGATTGCCGCTGACCAGCGACACAGATCACATCACATGTCCGCAGTCAGAGTGATGCCGTTTCGTGGGCATCATCTCCTGCTTGCATCACTTAGTATTTCTTATTTAGCAATGTCCTTTATACAAACCCTCCTGGAGTCCAGTAGAGTATTGGTTAGCGCATTCCCCTCGTAAGCGAGAGAACTTGGGCTTGATTCCCAGGCAGGGCGAAACCTCAAGTTACTTTACTCCACACGCCTCTGGTTACCGAGCGGTAAGTAGGAAACTCTGGGACTCTACCCTGCATGAAGGGCACTATATAAATGCAAGTTATTGTTGTTTTTGTTGTTAGCTGTTTGGCAGATCGCTTTCCAGCAGTAATAATCCCTCGCCCCCAAAATAAATCAATATGATAATTTGGTCACTCAATCCACAACTGTGTGTGGGACGCTGCTGTGAGCAATTGGCTGCCGCGTTTCGCCCACAGAATATACAGTCAATTTACTTTATAATAGATTCTGTGAAGCGCTTTGAGACATCTCAACGACATGATAAGGTGCTAAATCAAATGTAAGGATTATAATAATTATTATTGTTGTTATAATAATCCTTGCCTCGAAGATGTGATACAAAGGATACAGAAAAATGCGCTTCACAGAATATATTATACAATGAAACGAGTATGTATTTTGTGGGCAAAATTCAGGAGCAAAGCAGGGTCCCACAAACAGCCGTGGATTGAATGACCAATTTATTATTAGTATTTTTTTAAGGGATTATTACCCCCAGAAAAGCAATCCGCCAATCGATTAACAACCAGGTTCTTACTTACTGCCAGGTAAACAGAGGTGTGTGAAGTAAGGAAAATTGCTTAAGGTTTCGCCCTGCCTGGGAATCGAACCCGGGTTTTCTCACTTGCAAGGTGAATTCTCTAACCACTGAACTACAGGACTTATTATCTAATTGCACTCTCTTTCCTCCTGCCGGAACGGCAATGGCAGCTTGTTAGAGATTGCACTCCAACCCAAGTGTGTCTAATGCCACTGAAACTGTCAGAACTGCCTTTCCATAGCTTTACATCTCCTGACATGCAGAGCATTTGGCTAAAACCGAAAGAACATTGTGATTCCAAGCTCGTAACTGGCTCATTACAAAGTGATGGGAAAGGACTCAGCTGCGGAGAGCAGGTGGGGATGAGCAGTTTCCATGCAGGTGACAGGGACAGTGACCAATGACAGAGGAAATATGGCTCACGATCAGATCTTACTGACGACCTGATCATTCCACAGCCACAAACCTCTCGCCATTAGACTCTCCCAGTCAGGCAGCCAGTCTCTCTCACTCACTCTCTGTCTTTATCACACTCACCTACTTGGTCCCCAATCACTCTCTCCATCATTCATTCACTCCTTCACTCCATGCAATAAAAACAACAAAATGACATTTATAGAGCAGTGCTGTGGAAGTGTTGCATTGTCGGAGGTGCCGTCTTTCGGATGGGACGTTAAACCGAGGTCCCGTCTGCCAGTTCAGGTGGATGTTAAAGATCCCATGGTGCTATTTGAAAAGAGAAGGGAGTTTCTCTCTCCTAGTTTGCCAGCAAATAATCCCCCAAATAAATTTGATCACTCACTCCATGGCTATTTGTGGGAATCTACTGTGCGCAATTAGCTGCTGCGATTCACTCACAAAATACACAGTCAATCCACTTGACAGTATATCCTGTGAAGCGCTTTGAGACGTGTCAATGACATGATAAGGTGCTACAACAAATGCAAATATCATTATTTGCTTTCCTTGCTCAACTCACTCAGTCTCACATGCACTCAAACCTTTCCTACTGGTTTTTGAGCCAGTAATGAGAAGAAACAAATGTTTAAAGATTGCTAAACAGAATTAGAGGGAAGCTTAGAGGCAGTGTATAATGTGGCATTCTCCGTCAAACAGCAGAACTCCTCTAAACCAGAGATTCTTAATTCTATCAAATGGCAATCAGATATTCGAATAGGAAAAAAAATGAAGCAGTCTCTAAAATAATCGGTCTTTAACCGTGCTTTACAACGTTATAAGCCCCCTCCCTCGGTGTCACGTCAGGTGGGACATTGGCTTCCTCAGCACAGAACATTCTAAACTAAATATCAGCAACGGGCGGCTGAGGGAGTGTAAACACACCTGGCCGCTCATGATCTGCTTTAACATGTGGGACTTATTGCTTGCTCCAGGTGAGAGGAATTCTCTCCATACCGTTGGCTGGGGTGTCTCCAAGTCTCTGCCCCCTCAGGCTCAGCATTGCTGAGTAAATGAGGCAGAACAGGGAGCGCAGGGTGCGGATCAATGGCAGTGACTCGACCTTAATGACTCCTCAATAAAGTGCAAGAAAAGCACAACCTCAGCCAATCAGCCGTGATGTTATATCCCGACCTCTCCTTGTGCCCCCCCCAGGGCTGCGTGTGATCATCAAGGCCTTTTCTCTTTCTGAGAGTTGAAAGAAATGGGGCAGTAAGTCATTCCCCTTCTCTCTGAATTCTCTCCCCTTCATCACCTAAATGGCACCTCGGCCCAGTTAGAGAGCGACATAAATCCCCCCCAACCCTGGGTGCCAGGGAGAAGCCTTGCTCCTCAGGTATTGGGGCTTGAAGCTGCAGCCATCACAAACCAGTGCAATAGTTTCCAGTTAGCAATCACCAGGTCCTGAGTCTCCCTTCATTGTGGCCAACTATTGAAGGATGAGAATTTTTTTTCTCAAACGTGTTTCTGAGAACCATGGAATGTTCTACCATCACAATTTGGATGAGACGTTATAAACCCCCTGTTCGATGTTAAAGATCCTGTCACATTATCTGGAAAGGAAAAGGAGCTACTCCTGGTATCCTGCAAACAATCCCCCAAGAAAATTGGTCATTCACTTAATCTCTGATAGAATCATAGTCTGACATAGCCCAGAAGAAGGCCATTTGGCCCATTGTGTCCGTGCCAGCTCTTTGAGAAGAGCTATACAATTCAATCCCACTCCCCCGCTATAGAATCACTATGTTTCTTGGACATCACTGTGTGCAAATTGGGTGCTGTGTTTGCCTACAAAACACACAGTCACTACACTTCACAGTACATAGTCGTTACACTTGGTGAAGAGCATTACGATGTTCGCCCAATGTGAAATCAGATGTGAGGATTGTTTGTGTTTGTAAGTTTGAATGTAAGTTAATTTACACATTTGTGCTGCACTTTGGATGATGATGGAGTGACTTTGCCAAGAGAGAAAAGTTTAGGAATAATGTGATTTCACATTCAGTTCCGAGTGGGGGACACAGGTGCCGTTCTTGTTCTCTTGTTCTGCGCCTACAGTTACTTATTTACACCTGGACCGAGGACCTCTGTCATCTATTAATGCCGACACATTATGAGACATCTCAAGGTGCTGAGGCTGTTTCTGTTTGTAATTGATGAATTAATCATAGGAGTTACATCAGATTTACTTAACTCCCCGTGGACCAGGAGTATAAAGGACCCTGGAGTCTGACAGACTGCACCGAATTCCTGAATCAACTCATCTGAGAGAACTTCAACCTGAGCTCAAGACCATCATCCAACATGAAATTCCTCCTCGCCAGTGTTCTGCTCATCAGTTGCTTGTCGAGTATCTCTGAAAGTGCAGTTGTCCGGGTAAGATTTACTCTTCAATCCTCTTGGTTCAATTTGATGTCTCAAACATCAGATTTGAGTCTTGCTCCCCCCTACCCTGCGACCTCCTAACCCTCTACCATCCTGTTCGTTCCTTCCGCTCAGTGGGCTCCGGCCTGCTTCGCGTTCCCCGCCTTGCTCACCCCACTATTGACGGGCAGGCCTTCCGCCACTGTGCCCCTACCCTCTGGAACTCCATCCCTCAGTCCCTCCGTCTCGCCCCCTCCCTTGCCACCTTCAAGACCCAACTCAAGACCCTCGTCTTCGACCGTGCTTTCAATCTCTCTGCTTTTCCCCACTGCCCTCCCCCACCCCGACCCTGATCCATGAACGATGGTGGCTATTTTGGTTTATATCACAATGTCAATTATGAATGAAAGAAAGGATTTAAATTTCATGGCAAAATGTCTCAACAGGGTTTCACAGTTGTCATTTATCTCAAATAGTTTCTCTGGAGTACAGATATTGACGGGAGACAGTGCATTGGGCTATGTCCAGGTGTCTCTACGCTCCACATTCACATCTGAGCTTGTTGCTTAGCTTCCTCCTGGTGAGATTATTATGCCTCCACAGCCCTCACCCGGTTTAGAGGATATCAGTGTTTGTGTTGGAGGTCAGAGCCTGGAGGGAGTTATTCTGAAGGAATCAAGTTCTCCAAGATCATCAGAATTACCCTCCATAGCCTTCCACAGTGGTATTTTGGGGACAAGGATTTTCAGAGGCAAAACTCTTTGGACTTCAACGTCTTGGGTGATGGGCACCCAACGCTTTCTTCCACCTCCGACGGATCGCCCATCTCCGCCAATACCTCTCCCCAAAAGCCGCTGAAACCCTGGTCCATGACTTTTTCACCTCTCGGCTGGACTACTCTAACGCCCTCCTCGCCAGTCTCCCATCCACTACCATCCATAAAATCCAAATCATTCAAAACTCTGCCGCCCGCATTCTCACCTAACTGCGCTCCCCGATCCCCCCAGTCCTGGCCAGAGTGCACTGGCGGCCTATCCCAGAGAGGATCGATTTCAAGATTCTCACCCTTGTATTCAAGTCCCTGCACCCCCCGACCTCTCTGATCTCCTCTCTCCTCAAAACAGTACCCATTGCCTTTGTTCCTCCGGGTCTGGCCTCCTCCTCATCCCCCGAATCCTCTGCTCCACCCTCGGCGGCCGTGCCTTCAGCCATTATGCCCCGAGGCTCTGGAACTGCCTTCCTCACCCCCTTCGCCTCGTTCCCTCCCTTCTCATTTTCACGTCTCTGCTGAAGACCTTTCTTTTCGACCGCACCTTTGGTCACCTTCCTCCCCCTCCCCTGGCTCCTCCCCCTCCCCCTGGCTCCTCCCCCTCCCATGGCTCCTCCCCCTCCCCCTGGCTCCTCCCCCTCCCCCTGGCTCGGCCCCGGGATCCGTTACTGTAAAGTGCTCTGAGACACTGTCCGGCATGGAGGGCGCTATATAAATCCAAGTTGTTGTTGTTGTGTCTAAGATCATTTATATTTATGTATCCATGATCTGATAAATTGACAGAACAGGCTTGATGGGCTGAATGGCCTGTTTCCTGTGTTGTTTACCAACCTGTCCGCTCCCTCCGCTCGGCGGGCACTGGCCCGCTCCACGTCCCCCGCCCTGCCTGCTCCACCATTGTGGGTCGGACCTTCAGCCTCTCTGCCCTCACCCTCTGGAACTCCATCCCGGAGCCCATCCTCCACATCCCCTCCTTTGCCTCCCTAGAGGCCGACCTCAAGACCTTGCTCTTTGACCATGCCTTCGATCATCTTCCCTCTATTAGCCCCCTTGCCCTCCAACCCTTTTGATTCCATCCCCCAACTCGGCTGCAATCTCTTCACCATCCAGCACCTTGGGACAACCTCCTGACCCTGTAGACTCTGTAAAAATGCAAGTTGTTGTTGTTCGTTATTGTTCTTATTGCCCTGTGACTAAACATTTAATTGATTGCTCTCCCTGTAAGATTGGGGCAAACGAGTTCTCGTTGGAGGAGGTAACACAGCTAAAGGACCTGATGGACGAGGAAACCATTAAAATGCCCTGCTATTCCTTTGTTGGAACCTCTACACTGTGTAACAACCCAGCTCTCCCTGAGAAGTTCAAACCCCTCTGCAGCAAGGGAGATGCTCCTCAGATATTTTGCACACTGGGTAAGGATGTCAACCATTCTGATCGCACCCACCTCAACAACAACAATAATAATAATCCTGGCATTTGATACGGCGCCTTATCACGTCTTCAAGATAATAATAATAATAATAATCCTTGCATTTGATATAGTGCTTTTCACATCTTCTCGACGTCTCAAAGCGCTTCACAGAATATACTGTAAAGTGAATTGACTGTATATTTGTGGGCAGAACGTGGCAGCCATTTGCGCACTTACATTTAATATTAAATATTATGTTAAATATAATACGCACCTTTGGTCAACCTTCTACGCTCCCTCCACCACTCCTGATCCCTACTCTGAGATCAAGTGCACATACTTCACTGTCCAGCACTAGTCATCCTTGACTGTCAATCCGTGGCTGTTAATCATGGACAACCTTCCCCCCACCCCCATACACACACCCATGGTGGAAAAATTTAATCTCCTAACCCCTCCTTTATGTTTTGCTGACTTTCTCAAAGTGACGTCCTGTCCAGTGGAAATAGTTTCTCCCAATTTACCCTAAGAATTCCAGAGAAATCAATCTTACCACCTCTCAACTTTCTATGTTCTAGTAAAGCAGCCGCAGTTTCTCTTGTGTAGCACTCAGATAGCCAGCAATGTAGTCAGGGAATATCCCAGGAGACCAGACCACTTGCTAACCGCACTGGCAGAAACCATTACCCCTGGAAAGTGATCCGCCAATCGACTAACAACCGGGTTTCTACTTACTGCCGGTAAACAGAGACATGTGGAGTAAGGAAACTTACCTAAGGTCTCGCTCGCCCCGACCAGGAATTGACACATTCCTTTTGCTTGCAAGTGCTCTATCCTCTAAGCTACTGGACTCGCCTGATACCATTCTAGTGAATCTCCTATTTCCCCTTTTCATTCTTCCTGGCACTATTGATCCAACTGGCCCCTGGCCAATGGTTCACACAGGTCCAGATTGATTTCAGTCCTATAGCTCAATGGTTAGAGCACTCAACAGCAACAACAACAACAAGATTCCATTTATAGAGCGCCTTTCACGTCGGGAGGATGTCCCAAGGCGCTGGACAGTTGGGTCAGGACCTGGGCATTGGGGGGGAAATGGTCAGGGTGAGGGGAGGGAAGGGAGGGAGCGAGGAGGGGGTAGAGAGTCGAGAGGGGAGCTGAAGGTACGGTCAAAGAGAAAGGGTTTGAGACCGGCCTTGAAGGAGGAAAGGGAGGAAGCGGTGAAGGCACTGGGGGATAGAGTTCCAGAGCCTCGGGGCTGAGAGGCTGAAGGCCACCGATGGTAGGGCGGTTGGGGCGGGGGATGTGGAGCAGACCAGAGCCAGAGGAACGGAGGGTACGGGCAGGTAAGTAGGGGGATAGTAGGTCAGAGAGGTAGGAGGGAGCGAGGCCGTGAATGGCCTTGTAGATGAGGATCTTGAATTCGCCTCACCTTACAAGAAAGAGGTCCTGGGTTCGATTCCCAGGCAGGCAGAAATGTTGGACAAGTTTCTTTACTCCACAAGCAACCTAGTTGTTAGTCGATTGCTTTTCCGGGGGTAATAATCCCTTTTAAAAATGTGGTCTCTCAATCCACTACTGTTTGTGGGACGCTGCTGTGCGCAATTGGCTGCTACGTTTCGCCCACAAAATATGCAGTATATTCTGCGAAGCTCTTTGAGACGTCTCGAAGACGTAATAAGGCTTCATATCAAATACAAGGATTATTATTTTTTATAGAATCAGACTGAGATCAATTACTACAGTATCCGCTGGGTCATATCTCCCACTTGATTCTCATATACTGAGAATTATTTCAGCTTTGATCCATTCCTCAAAACGTCTTTGCTCCTCCAGATGCCCCAACATCTTTTTTTCTGTCGAACAAAAGTTCAAAATTTAATACAATAAACTTAGATGCACAAATGTTGTACAGAGCATTCGCCACTGGGTGGCACTTTTCTACCCGCTCCCCCCTCCTCAAAAGCATTTCACAGAATGTATTGTAAAGTGGAGTGACTGTGTATGGTTTGCTAACAGAGTATTTACCATATGGCTAGGTTGTATTTTACCCAGGACGGAAGCAATAATCAGCGACTTACACCCATTATTTGAGGAAATATTTTATGTCACTCTTTTAAATGTTATTTTTGGGCCACTTTGCAGTAGTACTTGACACATCGACTTTTTAAAGAATGTAGTTTTCATTCATCCTCATTATAAAATCGATTGTGTTTTTATTTGGGAAGTTGCCGTTCAACAGCTTTTGAATTTAGCTTAATTGTGTTTAGACTTTTTTCCCCTCTGTGACAATTTGTTTTCTTTGATAAAATCGCTCGTTATTTCCAGCTTTATAAATAAGGAGCAGATTTATTTTCCCAGCCCTGAATGAGAGAGGAAAGAGTCAAAAAAAAAGTTCAATATGATTTATGTTGTTATGTTATGTTGTTAGTTTCCTTACTCCACACAGAGCCTAATAATAATCCCTCCAAAACCAAAAATAATAATAAATTGGTCATTTTCAATCCATGACTGTTTGTGGGACATTGCTGTGCGCAATCGGCTGCCGCGTTCGCCCACAAATATACAGTCAATTCACTTTACAGTATATTCTGTGAAGCGCTTTGGGACGTCGAGAAGACGTGAAAAGCGCTATATCAAATGCAAGGATTATTATTATTATTATTAATGTACATTTGTTGCAGGATGAGTGTGTTAGACACTAATGTGTGTCTGTGTTACTGTGTCTCTGTGTAACTGTGTGTGCCTATAACTGTGTGTGTGTGTAACTGTCTGTAACTATGTCTGTCTGTAACTATGTCTGTCTGTAACTGTCTGTAACTGTGTGTTTGTGTATCTGTGTATCTGTGTAACTGTGTGTGTAGCTGTGTATTTGTGTGTGTCTGTGTAACTGTGTCTGCATGTAATTGTGTGTCTGTCTACAATAACAACAGAATTACATGTGTATAGCTATATGTGCCTGTGTGTCTGTGTACCTGCATCTGTGTATGTCTGTCTATATGTGTGTATCTGTGTGTGTGTGTGTGTGTAACCGTACATCTGTCTATATCTGTGTGTAACTGCCTGTGTGTGTATATATATCCATTTGCAGTGTGAGTACATGTTTGTCTGCCTATGTGTGTCTACCTATGTGTGTCAGTGTACGAGTGTGTGTCTGCAACAATGTGTGTGTGTGCATCTGTGCATATTTGAATGTCTGTAGGTCTGTGTGGTCTCTCTAAGTCTATCTGTATATCGATATGTCTATGTTTATATCTATGTATACGTGTTTGTGAGTGGCATCTGTGCGAGTGTGTCTTTGACACCGTTGACCACTGCATCCTCCTCCACCGCCACTCCTCCCACCTCAACCTTCATGGTTCTGTCCTTGACTGGTTCAGATCGTACCTCTCACACCGCCTCCACTTCATCTCCCCAAATGGCTTCTCCTATAGCCTCCGCATCGTCTCCTGCAGTGTTCCTCAGGGCTCTGTCTTTCATCCCCTCCTCTTCAACTTGTACATGTTCCTGCTTGGTGATATCATCTGCAGACATGGGGTTAACGGATGACACCCAACTCTATCTCTCTGCATCCACCCTTGACTCCAGGACCCACTGCTGTCCTGACAGAATGTCTGTCAGACATCAAGTCCTGGATGAGAGCTAACTTTCTACAGTTGAATGTCAACAAGACCGAGGCTCTCCTGATTGGCTCCGGTCAGCGCCTCCTCACCTCAGGCGCTGACAGCATCACCATCCGTGGTTGCACACTCCACCTTGCTAAGCCAGTCCGCAACCTTGGGGTCTTCTTTAGATCCTCAACTGTCATTTCTACCCACATCCATGCCATGATCCGCTCTGCCTTCCCCACTTCCTGAATATCACCCGGGTCTGCCATTGCCTCATCCGTCAGGCCACCGAGACCCTCATACAATGATTTATCACATTAGGCTCGACTACACCAACTCTCTGCTTGTCGGCCACCCCAACATTTCCCTCCATAAGCCGCAGATCATCCAGAAATCTGCATCTCATGTCCTTTCCCACACCAGGCTCCATGACCCCATCACTCCCATCCTCCCTCAGCTCCACTGACTCCCCATTCCCCAGAGGATAGAGTTCAAAATCCTCGTCCTTGCCTTCAAGGCCCTCCATGGCCTCATCCCCTTCCTACCTCTTCGACCTGCTAACTCCACATCAACCTGTCCCCTCCCTGCACTCAGTGAAGCTCCGGCCTGCTCCATATCACCTGTCCGGCCCATCCCACCATCAGCATTCGGCCATTCAGCCTCTCTACCCCAAACTTTGGAATTCCATACCCCGGTCCCTTTCACTCGCTCCCTCCCTTCAAAGCACGTCTCAAGGCCCTCTTCTTCGACCGTGCTTTCGGTCACCCTCCTACTTGTCTTGCTCTATACCCTTCCCCCCAACCAACCCAATCCCAACCCCCAGCTCTGGTACAAATCCCTGACTGTTCAGCACCTTGGGATGTCCTCCGGACGTAAAAGGCGCTTTACAATTGTAATTTGTTGTTGTCTGTTTCACTGCAATCCGATTTGACTGATTTTCAATCTCTTTTTCCAGGTCAGATAGCTGCCTACCCATACGCCTGTGAAATCTGTTCCTATTCAGCGTGTGCTGGCTGTTTCTAAGCCCGTGAAATCCAACCAAACCGGTGGCTCCAGCACCATTTCCACTGTTTCTGTCATTAATCTTCGAAAATCCAATGAAACAAAATTCTGAGTATCTAGTCTTTAAGTTCTTAATGTGCCAGTAAGATTGATAATTAAAAAGGTCACTTTTTGTGTTTTAATTCTTGGACCTATATATAAATCAGAAAAGTCCATTCTTGATTTAGCCCCATAGTCAATACAATCTTCAGAAAATGTTGTAATGTGAATGTAAGCTCCGGTGATCTCTCTCAATGCAAACAAAGAAATAAAGCTTCACTTTGCTCCCAATGTGGCTGATGGTGAGTGTCAGTGTGGTGCGGTGGTTACAGTCGCTCAGGGCTATTTACTTACAATTGTATGACAGGAATAATGTCAATGAGCATCTCAAGGTTTCATGATGTCGAGTGCCGCGGTAGCACCTGTTGCAGCCCCCGCATTGCCTGGCGTGTCAACAGCAATAACATCAAATTACATTTATAAAGCGCCTTTCACATCAGGGGGGGACATCCCAAGGTGCTGAACAGTTGGGGATAAGAACCCAAGAGTGGGGGACAGGTTTGGGGTGAGGGAGGGCAGAGGGGGTAGGAGGGCAGCTGAAGCCACGGTCAAAAAGGAGGGTCTTGAAGGAGGCAAGAGAGGGAGTGAGGTGAAGGGATTGTGGGATGGAATTCCAGAGGGTGGGGGCAGAGAGGCTGAAAGCCCGGCTGTCGATGGTAGGGTGGGTCAGGAGGGAGACCTGGAGCAGGCTGGAGCCCGCTGAACATAAGGAGTACCAAGTTGATAGGGGGTCAGCAGATCAGAGATGTAGGAGGGGGCCAGGCCGTGGAGGGCCTTGAAAGTCAGGACAAGGATTTTGAGGTCTATCCTCTGAGGGATGGGGAGCCATGGAGTCGGGCGAGGGTGGGGGTGATGGGGTTCTGGATAATCTGCAGCTTGTGGAGGGAAGAGCTGGGGAGGCCGAGAAGGAGGGAGTTTCTGTAGTCGAGCCTTGAGGTGACGAATGCATGTATCAGAGTTTTGGGGGCGGGGGTGAGACAGTAACATAGTCGGGCAATTTCGCAAAGGTGCGGTTGATAGCACAGATATGGGGGATAATAATAACAATAATAATAATCCTTACATTTTAATATAGGGCTTTTCACGTCTTCTAGATGTCTCAAAGCGCTTCACAGGATATGCTGTAAAGTGAATTGGTTGTATATTTTATAGGCGAAACCCGGCAGCCAGTTGCATACAGCAGTCGTGGATTGAATGACCAAATTGTTATATATATATTTTTGAAGGGATTATTACCCCAGGAAAAATAATACGCCAGTCAACTAACACTTAGTTTCCCCCTTACTGCTGGGTAAACAGAGGCGTGTGGAGTAAGGAAACTTGTCCATCAACTCAGGTCCTCTCACTTGCGAAGTGAGTGAACTAACCACTGAGCTACAGGATCCCACAGGTGATTTAACGCCTGATCCAGGGGACAACCCAGGGCACCGTCAAAGGCACTGCCCCGGAACACCCGTGAGCTCAAGTCTCGACATGGGAGTTGAACCCACAATTTTCTAACCCAAAGGCGAGAGCACAACTACCAACTGAGCCAAGCTGGGCTAACCTTCCAAAGCAAATGTATGTGCTTCGGTCTTGAGAATTTAGTTACCGTGTTGTAGCCCTTCTGAATTTTGAAGACCTCCATCAGGTTCCAGATTTCCACTCAATGCCACCCTGGCTTCACAAACATATGTTGACGGCCAACATGAGGGAAAATAAACTCCCGGTGGCCATGGGTTCAAGACAGATCTCTGTGGGTCTCTGTGATTGGCAATACTCTGCCCAGAGCTCAGCTCCTGACTCTGCCTGGAATGACTGACCTGTTTGAGGTTCCTTTATGATTTATGTCGAGTGAGGACGAGCAGAGCCAAAACAAATCGGGACCAAGTCCAGGCCAGGAACTGACAACTTCAGACCTTTTATCAGCCAAGTTAATAGATTCGTAGGCTGTTGCAGACCAGAAACCTGTCAGTTTGCCCATCACTTCTTTGCTCGCACACATGCACACACACATAGACACGCACTCACACACACACGCTCACACACACGCGCTCACACACATGCGCACACACACAATACTAATCAATTTTCCTCTTTTTCAAGCATCTATTTTTCAAGCATCTATTTTTCAAGCACCAATTCCTTCTAAATTAAAAATAGATGATGGATTGTGATTGAGCGGTGTATGTAGAGAATATCCACGCTTCCACCGCCCTCTGTGCAAGGATAATTTTTTTTTCCAATTCTTTTCATTTCTTTTGTGACTTTCTTAACTTTAGCTCATTGCCAATTCAACACCAGGGAACATCCCATTAAGGGAGAGTCTCAAAGGGACTTTCACATAAAGGGACGTCTTGAAGCAACAACAACCACAACAACAAGATTACATTTGTATAGCGCCTTTCACGTTGGGAGGACGTTCCAAGGCACTGAACAGAGTACAGCAGTTCAGACCCGAGCTGGAATGAGAAAGCACTTCACTGAGTGGACCTGCCTATTTACCTAATCATTAATCTTCGTAATCACAAAACTTGCTCAAAAGCTTTTAACCTCAGCTCCAGTAAGAAGTAACTAGATCAAAAGACGGACTGATCCAGGCTGAGCCACCCCAGCTTGATGTGAACAAATGAGGCCTGAAATTCCAACGAGACACAACAGGACTGAAGCCTCTGCCATTGGGTCCAGCATTACTCCTTACTTGTCGGTCTCCTCAACTCCTCCCTCCATAGGTTGCAGACCATCCAGACCTCTGCAGCCCGTGTCCTCTCCCGCACCAGGCTCCACGATCCTATTTATTGATCCTTAATACACACGCCTCTGTTTACCTAGCAGTAAATCAGAACCCGCTTGTTAGTCGATTGATGGATTGCTTTCTGGGGGTAATAATCCCTTCAAAATAATAAGAATATAGTAATAATAATAACTTAGTCACTCAATCCACAACTGTTTGTGGGACGCTGCTGTGCGCAATTGGCTGCCGCATTTTGCCCACAAAATATAGTCAATTCACTTTACAGTGTATTCTGTGAAGCGCTTTGAGACGTCCCAAAGACGTGAAATGCAAAGTTTATTATTATTAAAATTTGAGCTGGTGCTGAAAGCAGAACTGGTGGGAAATTCTTAAATTCGTAAGTACCTTAATTTGAGAAATGTTCTTCTATTATTAAAAAGAAACTGGCTTCCAGATCGAGACCGAATTTAAGATTATTCCTCACAATTGTGAGCAACCTGAAATTGTTGGACAAAATCGGACTTACAGGCTAATGGACGAGGGGAAATTTAATGCTTATAGAATCATAGAATTATACATCACAGAAGTAGACTATTAGACCCATCGCACCCATGTCTGTCCAAATTAATCCCACTCCCCATAGCCCTGCAAATTTGTCTTCCCCAAATATCTATCCATTTCTATCTTGAGACTTGTTATCGAATCGGCTTCCCCCACTCTATCAGGCAATGTATTCCAGATCCCAACAACTCGCTGTGTGAAAACATTTCTCCTCACTTCCCCTCTGTTTCTTTTGGCAACTATTTTAAATCAGTGTCCTCGGGTTACCGACCCTCCCGCCAGTGGGAATAGTTTCTCCTTGTTCGCCCTATCGAATCCCCTCATAATTTTGAAAACTTCTATTAAGTCTCCTCTTAACATTCTCTGCTCCAAAGGAGAATAATCCCAACTTCTCTACCTTTCCTGATAACTGAAGGCCCTCATTCCTGGTGCCATCCTGTTCAATCTCCTTTGCACCCTCTCCAATGCCTTGACATCCGTCCTAAAGTGCGGTGCCCAGAACTGAACACAGTCTCGAGCTGAGGCCTCACCAGTGTTTTATAAAGATTCATCATAACTTCCTGACTTTTGTATTCTATGCCCCTATTTATAAAGCCTCGTTTCCTGTATGCTTTTTTTTAAATAGCTTGATCTACCCGCTGCTACCTTCAAAAATTTGTTCATGTTCAGGATATGTTCATTATAATAATAATATTAATAATCTTTCCATTTGATATATCATGTCATTGAGACGTCTCAAAGTGCTTTACAGAATAAACTGTAAAGTGATTGGACTGTGTATTTTGTGGGCGAAACGAGGCAGACAATTGCACACACCAGTGCCGAGGGGGAATAAATACAGTGTCCCACACCTGGGGTCGCCACCTCTGAGAAGCAAAAAAAATAGCCCTGACGTCCCAGGCTGGGCCCCAAGGAACCATGTTGTTAAAATCATCAGCATCAATAGTGACAAGGGCCGTGGATGTCCATCTTGGTAAAGGTTAATAAACACATTTCATGGTGAGGGAATGAGGGAAGTGGTGGCCATCTTGGTAAATCCATGACCTGCAATGGTGTTAGTGTTGCGAACGGAGGGGCACCCATGTTGGTAAAAGCAGTAGGGGCATTGCATGGTGGGGGGGGCGAGTGGGACATACTGGTATGACCACATTTAAAACCTTACCCACATCGGAACTACGGTCTGGGGTCTTATTTATGAAATCGCACAGCAGTACATTGCCGGTAGCTTACTAGCCAGCTGTTAAAAAAAAGGTTTGGCACACCCTCAGGACAAGCTTATGTCCTCAATGTAACTATTCATTCTCAATGGCAGCCCAACTAACCCCGAGGAAAGGAGACGACCACATAGGAACAGAAAATAAACACTCAGGAAGGTCTCAAACTGTCTAGTTTCCATTTTCGCACCAAAATAAAGTCCTGGACTTCAGAGGAGAGGTTACTATATATAAACTCCCAACTCTGCAGGGAGTGCACAGTTGGAATAATGAAGGGCGTGGGTAAGACCAGGGGAATGAGAAAGGATAATTTTAGCACAGTCCACGGTCTCATTTGTGGTTTACCTAACTGAATTCCTGAAACACTTTTATGCCCCAATTTAGACCCCTGACTGTGCAGAAATGCTCCCATTCTCCTTTCTCCTATCATTCACCCTCTAAAGGACTTTGTGAAGTTTCCAGCTTTAGATAACGTGGACAAAGAGGCTGAAAGTTCGCCCAGAGATGGTGAGGTGTTAAGCAGGCCTCAGTTAGCAGAGTGTGTGTGTGGTGGTGGCTGGGGAGGACCACAGGGAATGACAGAGGTAGAGTGGAATCAGTAAAATAACAACAAACAACAACAAATTACATTTACAAAGCGCCTTTCATAGCAGGAGGACAGCCCAATGCACTGCACAGTCAGGGATTTTGACCGAAGCTGGAGGTTGAGATCAGGAGGGATGGAGGGCATGGAGGGTTGGG